GGTCATTTGGATTTGACCAATCAGCGCACGGCAAAACGGGCTGTTTCTTGCAATTGTGGGGTGTTTTCCGAGTGGAGCTTGGCTGTATTCGTTGGTTTTAGACATTCGGCCACTGTGGATTCGTGTTCAGAAGGTGTGTCTTTGGAGGGTCACCGTCTCGAATTTTTCGATTTGGCCTTCGTTTGGCTGAGATCGGATGGTGAAATCACTCAAACGCGAAGGCGTGCGAACAAGTGAATGAAGAGAAAATTAAAAATCGGGGACGGTAAACCATGGTAAACCGATAGAGAATTCCAAGACCTTGAAAATGAGCTATCGACGGTGAGAATCGGCCAAGGAGAACCGCTGTTCTACTTTTTTGAAGACATCAAGGTGGGCCGTGCGTCGCCGCGCGCACCAACAAAAACTGGCAGCCGTGCGCATATCTGCAAGTGCAACAAGAAAGGACGGAGGAGGCAGCAAGCGTTCCAAGTGAAGAGTTTACCTTCGTGTTGACTCAAGCTAAGGACTCATGCCAGTCAGGGATCATACCAGTCACCTCTCATCATGGTCATGACTAAGGGATCGCTTTGCAGCGCATTTTGCGAACAAGTGTAGCCTTGGCAATAACGACCTCTGTGCTGCTGACCTGCCTGACCTGCAACGACCTGCCTATGCCACGCTAAAGCACATTCACTTCCGCGCAGCAACGGTCAAACGGCACTTGGCGAACTTGGCTGTATCAAAAGCAACTGGACCGGATGGCATCTCTGCTCGTGTGCTCAAGATGTGCTCATCTGAACTTGCAGACCCACTGGCAAAGCTCTTCGCCCTCTGCTTCTTAGCCGGTGTGCAACCTGGGGCATGGAAACTTGCCCATGTAGTCCCAGTTCACAAACGGTCCTCCAGATCTTTGGCATCTAACTACCGACCAATATCACTGCTAACGATCATGTCGAAAGTCATGGAGGGCATTGTAAACACGCAACTGGTTAACTACCTAGAGAAGCATGAGGTGTTGCCAAACAGCCAGTTTGGATTCCGACGTGGTAGAGGAACCGCAGATATCTTAACGGCTCTCCAACATGAATGGGTCCACACCATAAGTACTGGCGGTTGTGTCCAGGTCCTCGCCGTGGATATTGCCGGTGCGTTTGACCGGGTATCGCACACAGGAGTGCTGTACAAAGCAAAGCAGGCCGGCGTCGACGGACGCCTGCTTGTATGGCTACAGGACTACCTCACCAACCGAAACATCCGCGTTGTGGTTGGAGGCCAGACGTCAAATGCTCAACCCATCCAGGCTGGTGTCCCCCAAGGTAGCATCCTAGGACCCAGCCTCTTCCTTCTATACACCTGTGACATTGAACAATGTTTAACTCCAGGAACGCAGCTGAGCAGCTTTGCAGACGACACCACACTCTACAGCTTAGTACAGCCAACTGACGATCTCCAACAGTCCACCGCCTCCCTCCAAGGGTCCCTCAACAGTCTTGAGGAGTGGGGCCGCAAGTGGCGTATCTGTTTTGAGCCAGCCAAGACACAGCGCATGACTCTACATCGCAAGCACGTTCCCCCCTGCACTCCACCAGTCACCTTTGGAGGTGAAGCACTCCAGGAGACAGATACCCTGAAGCTGCTGGGAGTCATGCTCGACCCTACTCTCTCCTACAGAGCGCACACTCGCAGTGTTGCACTGCGCGCCTCCCAAAGGCTGGGTTTCCTACGAAAGGCAGCACCCATCCTGGACGACCATGGTCGAGTGACGGTCTACAAGGGATTCGTGCGACCCCTACTTGAATATGCCCCACTGGCCTGGTCGAGCGCAGCCGCAACTAACATGGCCCAGCTGGACAAGGTTCAGCAACGTGCCCTGCATTTCCTGGGACCTGGAACCATCCTCCAAAGTCTTCAGCTTCGTCGGATGGTGGCAGCCCTGTCATACTTGTTCAAGCTGCACTACATTCCAGGGCCTCCCCAGGTAAAGGCCATGCTGCCACCAACCAAGCCCCCTGCCGTAGCTAGCATGTGCACACGGCAAAAACGTCAGACGCACCATGCCTTTCAGCTGAAGTGGACACCCCCTCGCACAGCCCCTGACTACCTCCTGCGATCCTTCCCCTTCTTCGCCATCACACCCTGGAACAACCTGCCTGCGGACCTCCTGCTTCACGAGCCTCATTCAAGACGCCTCCAAACCTTCAAGGTCAACGTATGTAAGGATCTAATCCGAAAGAGATGGCTGTGGTCCACACAGTATCTGTGATGATGATATTGAGATTTGAGACCCATTTAGTATTTACCTCTCTACTACTACTTGCTTGTTATGATTATTGTTCTCTTTCCTCATTTTCCCTTCTGGTTTAGTCATTACACGTATTTATAATTATTATTTGGTGCAATACTAGCGCCCCTTTCTCGCACCAAATTATTATTTTTGCTACCTGACCATGCACCCCCCCCCTTTTTTTTTCGATGCCAGGTTGCAACGCTAACGCCGAGACCCCTGGTCGGTCGAGTTGCTCCCTGTACATCGGCACGTCGTCCCTACATCCCCTGTGTCTTGTCTTGTGTTTGTCTCCACATGTCTCTTTGTAGGGCTGTGTTCCCAATAAAAAAAAAAAAAAAAAAAAAAAAATTCATTTGTGGCCAGGAAACTCCCCACTCGCAGCGTGAAAGCTGCGAGGCCAAACAGAAAAGAGTGTGCCGAGTCGCGATCAGGAAACGCTGAGTTCTACTGACAACATTGGTTAGCTAGGCTCGGAAAATTCTTGTAGATGCCAGGACTCAAGTTCACCAGTACCTCACGGACATATCTTGGTCGACACCCACCAGCGGATTGAGAAAAATGACCAAGGTGGCTTGGAGAAAGGACGTCTTCTCCGCGTGTCTTTCCCGACATCAAACAACAAGATTCGCTTCGGCACTAGCACTGGCCCTTCGCTGTACAGAGTAGACCAGGGAGTCGTAAAATACCGGTATTTTACGACTAGACTGTACATCGCTGTACATCGATGAGCATGAACTCGGGTGCGTAGCCGCTATGACTGCACAAACTCTGGCCTTGGCGGCATCGCCATGTTTTCAAAATGGTGGTCGACGCTTTTTGAATTTTGTATGGTCGTGGTGAGCCCTCAGTCATTGCCTTCTCAGCGCACAGAGACAATGCTGTTGAACCAGAAAGTTGAACTGATATTGCGAAAACTTGATCTAGGCCTTCGCGGACAAGGATATCCCGAATCTGGAGTACTACAATGGTCTCGTCGTGTGTGCTTAGACTGACAAAGCCCACGAATGAAACCTCACTCCATTTCACGCCAACAATGTATTCACGAGACAAGAAAATCATCACCTATTGGGCGCTCATCCATTGATCTAATGTACATGCAGAAAGAAGGGAAGCTTTTTCAAAGTATTACTTCATTGAACACAACACTAGTCTTGCACTGCACCTGGATTAAAAAACTCCATTTCTCCCCCTGTTAAATTTCCGAGTGAGTAACAATAAGTAGTCTGCATGCAAACCGGAGGCGTAAGTGGCAGCTCCTGCGCAGCGCGATATCCATGCAATGACTCCAAGTCCAATGACTTCAGAAAGTCATGTCGTTTGAAGCAATACGCGCACGCAATCATTCAGGGCTGGGAAAAACACTTGTACACTAAGCAGTAACAAGCACTAACACCACAATGTGTTACTACAGAGTACAGTATGTGACTCATACGACTTAACAGCTGCACACCGTATCAATGGTACTGAAACACTCAGTCCAATGCAGCTCGGAATTATAGAGTATTCTTGATAGCGTCGAGGTCCTGTGTTAATTAAACTGTCCTCTTCTTCCTCATGATCCTGAAATTGACAGGTTGGATTCGAGGCACATAGTTAAACAATCATGTAAGTGTCGTAGGTGACAAACACGGGTTCGGGTAGCTATAACTTACTTGCACATTCGACTGAGAGATAAATGATTGGGCTGTGAACTTGTGAATACTTCGAGAGAAGAGTAGAAGGGAAATTCCCTCTTGTGCAGTCATCTATTATAATTATTCCAGATTCGTGTTCATGTGGATGCATTCACAGTTTGCCATATTGTCTTCGCCTCCTCGCCTCGTCCTCCCTTTGTGTTCAGCCAGGCCACCTGTTTTGATCCACCAGTTGCCTGGTGGCCGAAACGTGAAACATGAAACTCAATGTTGCAACAAAATGCTCCTCTCTCCTTGCGGTGTGATTTTATTTCAATATTCTACAGTGCTTAGCTAAACTGCAATATCTGTTCCCGTCACAGACATTCCTAAGAAGAGGAGTGTACCGCAGACAGCACAGAGTCAGACGTGTTACTGTTAGTAATGTTGAAAAGAGTATAATCTAATAGCAACAAAAGACACTGATGTCAGCGCACTAACGCCTCAGCCACAAGTGTGGCATTACATACCCCTAACGGAGATATGCGGCTGTATTCTACTGTCTTCTGTATTCGCTGTCACACTTTGCATGACACTTCCAAACAGCACATTAATGCAGGAGAGCAGATTTGCATATGAAGTGTTTCCTTGACCAGGGAGAATAGAGATTTCACAGGCGCCATGTTCTGTCACCATCGGGCCTCCGACGTACATCTACTTCCGGGAACGTCGTGCTGTGATCCGCTGGGTTGTCGTTAGTGTTTAGACTATATTAGTGCAGACCTGGCCGTATGTACTAGTACTAGTACATTATTGATTACAAGCCTGAAGGACATTGTATGGATTGGCATAGATTTCTTTCAACCTAGCGTTATGACTGGCAGCACACTGGTTGCATCCGCTCTGGTGACTGTCAACGTATAGTTGCGCACTGAAATTCTCAGGACAGCTCCGTTAGCGCAATGCTGAGGGCAGTGAGGCTGTCTGTACACAGGAGCTGCATGATAATAACACAGTGCTAATGATACTGCATGTATTGCAATACTGGCACGTTTATAACTACACTGGACATTGTCTGCTTCTGTGAAGATGAACACAAGATACACCATGTAGCAGGCGAACAGTTTCGCCAGCGCCGAAAGTCCTCTCTCACTTGAATCTCGATTGCTTTCCTGAAAGGCACTTATGAGAGAGAGTTAGTTTTTCTCTATGCACTCAGTGCTTGTAAGAAGCTGATTTCGAACGGCAGTATGCGAAGTAGTTGACTGTACTTGATCAAGTTATATGTAGTTCAAGAACATAATAATGACCTAGATTTCAAGTGCACTACGCTCAGTTAGTAGATGTCCGCGAAGGGAGTCAGCTGATCTTACCCCCGGACTGGCAGCATCTACTCTCGACCTTCGTCGGGGTAGCCCCCGTGGCCCGCACAGCTTCGCACACCGTCCGTCCGTCTAACATAATCAGTGGGTCAGTCATCTAACCAACACTGATTCAGTGATTGCCAGCCCTCTGGCCCCTCTGACCGATGGCCATGTGAGCGGATGTTACTGTCCTCGATCCGTGCGGATGGTCGAAATGTGCACCGCCTTGTTTGTGTTGATTCCCTGCGCTGCTCGGACCGTCTAGGTCAAGTAGCGGTAGATTCCCGCCGTGTGGTCTTTGCTGCTACAGATCCCCAGGTTTTGTTGTCTGATCTGGTAGTCCGTATAGAATACGAAGACCTGCTATGTAACCTGGAAGGTCTGGGAAGATCGACGAAGAGCGAGGACTTACAGAAGTCGCGGGTCGGTGCACGTCAACGTCAACCTCCATCCCCACCGTCACAGATTCACAGGCACGGTTGCCGCGCCGCGGATAAGATTCAGACGTCAGATTCAGGTTCACTGGACTGTGCATGTGTCGACTCGATATGATCGATCTGCGCACGCACGATGATCACGACGTGTCCAGCAAGGCACTACCAGCACAGCCTCGCACGAATTGTGGCTGTTATTTCAACGAAATCAATGTCAAAGTATTAGTAATAGTTATTTTGCTTGCGCGCTAAGCCAGAGCTGCTGTGTTTTAGTCTAGTCTAGCCAAGCGGCACGCGTCGACAGACAGAAGAAGTTACCACTACCGGTGCTAGCATCCGATTTCATCCACAACAATATCGGTGCAGCTCTTTCCTGCGGCGGAGATCGAGATCGAAAGTCGGCAGTGCAGGGCTGACTACTGTTACAGCTGCGCCTTCAGAAAAAAAAGGCAATCGTCTCATTCGTCGGTGTCTGGCACGCATAGCCTGCCCGTGGCGTACTAATAACATCGGCTACAGTCGCTCCATCGCCTGTGACAGCCACATCAGCAGCTGCTTGGTGCGGAAAGATCTTGGCGCATCTGCAACCGACCTGTAGTGTAGGTGTAATCGTGCGGAACTACCTTCGGTGATTTCCGGCGTCACGATGGAGAGCACGACTGATGAAAATAATTGCCCGTCATTCTGGCCTACGGACGATGAGCTGTGTCGCAGGGCGAAGTAAGTAAACTTTCGTGGTGCCTCACTTGATCTTGCCTTTAGGCTCTCGACTACATGTACATTGTAGTGTAGGTACAGCTGTATGCGATGGTGATCATGGGGCACGTTGGTGATGAAATACTTCCCCACGGCACCCTTCAATCATGGAGAAACATTTTGGAGAAAGTCGGAGGCTGTGTGTTGCGGCGCCCGTCCGTTATTCCTATCGCGTAGTACATGTACATGTATCGGTGTCATTGTATCGAAGTGTTTGTCTGGATCCTGTGCAAGTGTCGACGACTGCGCACCTCTTCGCCACCGGCACCTCGACGACAGGCAGCATGCGCTGTATCCATATCTACTATACAGGTGTATAGTGCATACCGGTGTGCTTTTCGACAGGCGTGATCTTGCGAGTCACGGTTCATTGAAGCACAGCTGATCATGCATGGGGAAGAACAGGTGACACGACCTAAAGCGACTTCCTAAAGTAAGACCTTATGGCGGAAACCGAATTCTGCCCAGTCCAAGGTCGAGGACAAAGGAAGTCCAGGGCTCAGGGCGTGCAGGAAAACAGACTATGGCGCATGAGTGAGTTGACAGGACATGGCTAAGGAAAGTCATTGGTCACATCCTTGAATTGAAAGCATACACAATACTTATGCTGATGATAATTATGGATCACGTGAAACCAAAGGGCTCTTGCGCATTGCACGGAGTGTAGCTGTGAAAAAAGAAGTTGTACCCCCCCCCCATTTACGTTAGTGCAAAAAGGTCAAGTACAGAGTTTCAGTGGAGTTTTGCAGGCAACAGTCACTTTGTTCCAATCCATGTTCAATCTCTTCAGATTTGAAAATCTCGAACCACTTGCTATTGCCTGATCCTGAGCACTGTCCGCTCCTGATAGTGATAACTGTGGAGCTGTGAAGGATTGGCTGGACCCTGATTCAGTGCATGGAACGTTGTGTAACTATTTGAGGCAATGATTGTGTTCAACTCCCTCCACTAAGGCTTAGGGAGCATCTTTGGTTCACTATTTCTGTAAACCTGCCTAGCGCCGCATTTCAAATAGACCCTACCCTCTCCCCCTTCCTACATTCACATCCTGGAAGTGTGCTGTCATTTTCTATTTAAAGAACAGGGCGCTCTAAACCCGCTACCCCGTTTCAAAAATGCGCTACACTCAACAAAAGAATGCAAACTTATGAAATGCTCCCTAATGAATATTCTATGTCTCTAAACAAACGAAAATCCGGTGGAACAAAAAAGTGATTAAATTTCTCTACTCAGAGTTTCATGCTGAAAAGCAATAATTATTATTATATTAAGCCACGGTTCTTCTGTGTATTCTATGTCTCTATGGATTTGTAGGTGTGCTTATGTAGGGAAAATCCGTTAATCCTGGACACCAGAGACCGGGAGTTCGAAAAATTTGATATTGAGTGATGTGAAAGCAAGTACCCATGATATTGCTCCCCCTCCCCCTCTCCCTCCCCCCTCTCTCTCTCCCTCCCCCCCCCCCCCTCTCTCTCTCCCTCCACCTCCCCTCCCTCCTCTCTCTCCCTCCCTCCCCCTCCCCTCCCCCATTTTCAAGAGTTGACAATGGACTACTGCTAGAGTAGCACTGACCAGCATCAGTATACACCTGCTGTTCATCAGTATACAACTGCTGTTCATTGTTCTTTTTGAAATGTTGACCTGGGTGCAAGGGACTGGATCGTGTAAGCCTAAATCTGGACATTGCAATCTTGCGCATCTGCTTTCCTTAGGCAGGACATGGGCTGGTGCACGCGATCCAATTCACCGGAAGGCAGATGCCAGACAATGATACGAGAGGACGAGTGGGTACTCATCAAAACCGCCCTGCGCAAGGGTGAGCACTGCGACTGGAGAGAAGAGAGAAGAGTCAAGTGAGTGTCACGTGCATACACACACACACACACGCACACACACACACACACACACACACACACACACACACACACACACCACACACACACACACACACACACACACACACACACACACGCCCATGCACATACACACGCACATGTACACACATACATACGACTCGTATATGCATATACACACATTTATTTTTATTTATTTATTTATTTATTTCACCTTCCCGTGGCCAGAGAATATAGGCCAATATGGAGGGAGGGGGGCGGTAGCCAGCCATGGCAGTAAACAAAAACAAAGCAAAAATAAATAAATATTCCACATTACTGGAGGCAAAGAGAAACAAATGTGGATGAAGAACTAGCAGTTATTAGAACACGAGCTTCATGTTGGCCTTGAAATCCTTTAGCGTACAAGACGATTTTACTGATAGTGGCAGGGCCAGCCAGAGAGAATAAGCAGCAAAAAACGGAGATCTGGTATAAGCTGAGGTTCGGGCTTTAGGTAAAGTGCAGGGATTGCGCGTAGGACGAGTGGGAAGAAACCAGTTATATTTACGCAAGTGTGGCGGGGCTTTGTCAAGACGAATAGAATGAACAACAATACACAGTTTTCGATCCGCTTGACTAGAGATAGGGAAGGTGTTAAACATATCATACAGCTCGGCAGAAGGAAAGTATGATGGTTTGCGGAAAAGGACTTTGAGTATCCTCTTATTGTGGACTTCCAGGGTACTCATTAACGATTTACTAAGTAGGGTACATGCATACAGACATGCAAACATACACACAAACACACATGCACACACACACACACACACACACACACACACACACACGCACACACACACACACACACACACACACATCCTGTGCTGCTGCTAGGTTCTCCGGCAATGCACATTCATGGAACGGTGGAACACACTCAGGACACATTCTGATATGACACACTCTTGCTTTAAAATACTGGACATCGGCCGGAGCACGGGTTGAAAAATACATGCATGTACCTCGGCTACTAAGTACAATTCCTACTACCCATTGGAGTACATAATTATTGTACGGAAGTTCTACCGTATGATGAAGTATGAAGGGCTGACCTGTTTATCCACTACATGTACTGATCATGTGCATATTCAATGTAAGTACAGTGTTGTCCCTGCGAGTGTCTCAGTCTGACCAGCATCTATGTGCTGAAGATTCCAATCGAACATGCAGTATATGGCAAGGGGATAAGGAGGGCATTCTCCTACCCCCACCCCTAATTATAAAAATAAAAAAATAGCAGTGGATGTGGGGAGGAACACACAATTCCCCAAGTATCACCGAAGTCGCACCAACCTCTTCTTCACAGTGGATACCCCATAGTCACTATGCACATTGGCAAGTTCCAATAGCACATCGTTAGAAACACTGGTAGTTTCGGTAGTTTCGCCGGCTGGTTTCAATGGTAGTTGTGTGAGTATTACCTCGGTTCTCCACTCGCCATCTCTCTTCTTTTCAGAAATTTAGCAAACCAGATGCTCAAGGTGCACAAGGATCCCAGTTGCACATCTCCTTACCAGTGCCTGGTATGCAGAAAGAAGTACAACACTGTGACACAGCTTTGGCTGAAGAAGTGCCCGGAGTGCAGCAGGGTAAGGCCATTCCTGTGTTCTGAGTGCTAGGAGAGTTGTGATACTGACTGTTACCAGCCTCTGCTCAGTTTAGCAAAATGACAGGCCAGGCGTGTGATGTACTTCAAGTACATGTATATTACTACAAGTAATAGAAAGGCTGTGATGTAGCTACGCGCACAGCATTAATTCCCCAGAGAAAGTCATTGTTTTTTTAGAATGCATCTGTGAGGGTAATGAGTTTGCAAGTTTGTAATTGTGTGTGTGTGTGTGTGTATGTGCGTGTGTGTGTGCGCGCGTGCGTGCGTGTGTGTGTGTGTGTATGTGTGCGTATGCACGCGCACGTGTGTGTGTGTGTGTGCACGTGTGCGCGTGCGTGTGTGTGCTTGCACGTGCATGCATGGCGCACAATGTCTCTGCAGTCAGTATGCAAGCTATGCAGGATTGCGTTAAAACGATCCGTAGAGGACAGCAGAGCGCACTGGCACTGCAAGATATGCTCCGTCAACCGCGAGGTGAGTCTTGTCAATGTGCATCGGGTCACCGTTTTGGTTACTGGCTGGGTGAATATTCAGTTCATAGTGTACTGGTTGGGTGTATGCTAAGCTAAGTAGTGTGTTGATAGAGTGTATGTTAAGCCGCAGTAGGTAGTGAGCACACACTGCACATTACAGAAAGCCTTGCTCTGAGTTGAATCTCAGTACTGCAGCAGAAACCTCATCATGGTGGGCAATAATAATAATTATTGTCTTGACTTTCTGCTTGCTCCAGTTTTTCATGAAAAGTGGTGCATGGTTTCACCGCTCCTTGCCAGCTTACCTAGCCAGGAATGACAATGCCGATGATACAAATGACAGCTCAACCATCGCTAGAAGCCAGTCGCTCCCCGAGAGTTTGCTACCAACAGCCGTGTGCCCAGCTCATCAGCAGCCGACTTCAGTGAGTGTAACACTGTGCATGATGGGAGAGGTGAAAGCTTGGTGTTGTGACGTGATTAAAAATGCAACCATTTTAATGAAATCCTAATTAATGGGGCCATCCATAATAATTATGGATCTTTTTTTATACACGAAGCAAAACGTTTGGCGTATGGGTTTGTGACGGGAGGAGAGTTTCATTTTGAAAAACATTGAAAGCTGAAAAATATCGATCCATTCTAGCTGTCAAGTTAATATATTTTTCCTTTAGAAAGGGGTTGGTAAGGATCATAACTAAACTGTTTTGTTCCCGTGAAAATTATCGATAGTGCCAGATTGCCCCAAACTGAGCAATATCATGATTGTGACGACGGTTAATGTGACATGCATCCAGACCTTGTAGCTGTGAGTTGCCGTGTCCCATAGCTTAACGTTACAAGTAGAATGATCCTGGTTAAAGGTGTCGGCAAAGAATGGTACAGTGCATGGACAGAGGAGACTGCCTCTCCTCTTGGGGAAAACAGCACACATACACGTACGGGCACATGCGTGGGAGGGAGGTGGGAGGGAGGGACCTTTAGGACCATCGAACGACGTGTGTGTGTGTGTGTGTATGTGTGTGTTTGTGTGTGGGTACGTGCATGCGTACATGCATGTGTGTGGATGTGTGTGTGTGTGTGTGTGTGTGTGTGTGTGTGTGTGTGTGTGCATGTGTGTGTGTGTGCATATGTGTGTGTGTGTGGGTACGTGCATGCGTATATGCGTGTGTGCATGTGTGTGTGTGTGCATGGGTGTGTGTGCATGTGTGTGTGTTTGCATGTGTGTGTGTGTGTGTGTGTGTGTGTGTGTGTGTGTTTGCATGTGGGTATGTGCATGCGTACATGCGTGTGTGTACATGTGTGTGTGTGTGTATGTGTGTGTGTGTGTGCATGTGTGTGTGTGTGTGTGTGTGTGTGTGTGTGTGTGTGTGTGTGTGTGTGTCCCATATGGTGCAGTGGTATGTGCAGCGATTTCCAATCGATAGATTGCGGGTTCGATTCCCGACGATTATGGTCACACACGTCTTTCTTCTCTTTCTCAGACTCTTCCTGACTTTTCTTTCATTCTCCTGGGTGGTTACCAACAGCCAGTGCATGCCGGAGTATGTGGTGTGATGTGTGTGCGGGAAAAAAAAAGAAAAAAAAAGAAAAAAATGAAAAAGACCAAAAAGGGATTCACTGGCCAGAAAATGTCACTCCAAATAGCTGTATGGTGTAGACCAGGCTGAATAGTGACGGTCAATTCTTCAGCCTTGCAAGCTGTTGAATGGTGTAATCCCAGCACAAGTTGCTATGGCTTCTGCCGTAGCATTGCTATCATCGCCTCCGGCGATGGGCGTCAAAGGTCAAAGGTCAGGTGTGTGTGTGTGTGTGTGTGTGTGTGTGTGTGTGTGTGTGTGTGTGTGTGCATGTGTGTGTGTGCATGTGTGTGTCGGTGTGTGTGTGTGTGTGTGTGTGTGTGTGTGTGTGTGTGTGTGTGTGTGTGTGTGTGTGTGTGTGTGTGTGTGTGTGTGTGTGTGTGTGTGTGTGTGTGTGTGTGTGTGTGACTGTGTGTGTATGGGTGTGTGTGTGCATGGGTGTGTGTGTGCATGGGTGTGTGTACTGCTACTATGACTGTCTTGTTCAGGATGCACCGCACATTGTTCAAACCTTACACCAACAACCAAGCAGTCTCAATGGCGATGGTAAGCAAGAGTTTCCTACAGACACTTTATTGTGTGGCAGCTTTGGCAAATACAGACGCAGCGTAGCATTCATCATTTTCATTAGTATTACATATTTCCACGACAGTCCACAACTTTCTCAGTGATTACATATTTCATTATAAAAAGTGTATGTATATTGCACAGTGAGGGTTGCATCCTACCAGCCTGAGTAGCTTTCAAGTCTGAAGAAAGTGTGCATCAGTCGTTACTTGAATGAAGACTACAGCATAGCTCAGTGATTAGGGCATGGCTGGCTTATAGCAAAGGTATCTGGTTCGAGTCCTGGTGGTGACGGTCAATTTTTCTTCGGACACCCGTATTTCCCCGTAAGTTAGTACGTACTAACTTTCGAACTTAGCAGCCACATGAGTACTAACTTTCGGGGGTGGTACTATCTTTCGGGGAGTACTTTTTTTATCGGGGGTAAAGGACACGCAGTGGGAAGCCTGCGCAACTCTAGTGTCCGTGCATATGATGTATGTACTGTACGGTGTCTGTACATGTAGGACGGGTACGAACTTACTATCTTTCGGGGGGAACTGTCTTTCGGGGTGATAACCTCAGCAGTGGAAAGTGTATTTTTTTATACTGAAGTAGGGGGTACTAAGGCAATCCTTTTCATTTCCCCAAACCTGTGAATACCCGGTATTACATGTTACACTCTAGTACTGAAGTAACAATACATCATCATCATCACTGTCATGTGGTATACTCGTACCATCATTTTTCACTTATTATGTGAGAGGAGTGGCTGGTAGTGAGAGCTGGCACTGCTGAAATCCTGTACCCGAGCACACAGGAGCCTAGATTAGACGATGGGAATACTGCTTTGACTACAGTCATCCCTCTCTAATACATCACTATAATAATTATAAAAACAACACCCTCAACAAACCAGCATAATTTTCAGTAACCAAAATGTCCTCTTCATGCACATTGAAGCAGTAAATCAGACTTGTTCATCCAGCACCCTCCCTACTAGGTCGCTAGTTTAGCAGAATTGTCGTACTTCCTTCGTTAACAAAAACTTCGTGATGGATTTTTGAGGGATTGGTTTGCGCACAAACTGCCGTGAAATGAGTCGCGATCACTTTCTCGGCCTTCCCTGGCATGCCATAAAAGAGATTAGATGCAAGGAAAGCGACCTTTCACAACAAGCTGAGCGGAATCGATGGTTGCGCTGTGGCAACATAGGTGATGACAGCCATGGTGAACGAAACTGAAATACCACTTTTCCGAGGGCATAATGTGCTGCTTTGCTTCTCTAGAACTGAGTTTGAGAGTGATAGAGAGAGATGGAACGGAGCAGCGAGCCCACACAATGAGCGAGTGAACAAATAGCTGCTCCGACCGCACGGCGCAATGAAATGATTCCAGGGGCGTCGGAACCGCACCAGCCGGGGCGGCCATGGCCGCCCCACTTTCCGGGCCAATTTTTTTTGGGGGGGGGGGGGTAAGTGCATACAGCATGCATGTATGCGGTGCACATCTGTACGTGTGGTGACGTCACGTGGTGCAGTGGTGCAGTATGCCGTATTTCGCTGAACTTTGAAGTACATACATGTACCTGCGTAATCTCTGGGTTCAGTGCGTACACTACTCACTAGCTGCTCTAGCTGCTGGCTACTGGTCGGTGACAACCGGACGTACATGTCTAGTTGCACATCTAACCTAGCATGCACGATTCGCAACATAATCGGCGTTACCTGGTTACTGCAGCAGGCAGGTTTTCCCTAACACTAGTCACTACAGACAGCACGCTGTTCTGCTCCAACTTAGTTTGATAAATTTAGTTTGATTATGGAGCGCTCATCATGGCGGAGGCTTAAGTAGTTCCTGATGCGCCCCATCAACCAAGAGGTTTTGACTTTCCGAAAAGAGGGTTTGAGAAGAAGTCCGTCGTGAAACGTGCTTTCCAGGCCAAGTGGTTTGATCGTTGCTCATGGCTGCATTATTCTGAGGCCAGAGATGTAGTGTTTTGTTTCACCTGCTTCCGCGCTCACGCAGAAGGAAAGTTGGTGTGGTCAGCTAATGCAGATGGCGCGTTCATCGATATAGGCTTCTCGAATTGGAAAGATGCGACGATAAAGTACGATGCGCACCAGAACTCCAAGTGTCATAAGGAAGCTGTCCTGAAAGTTGTGAGTTTACCAGGCGCGGTAGTGGACATCGGAGAGAGCCAGTCAGCGCAACACCAGTGCGAGAAAGTAGAGAACCGGCACTGCTTCCTCAAGATACTGTCCTCGCTGCGCTTTCTCGCACGCCAGGGACTACCATTACGTGGTCACGGTGACGACTCCGACTCCTTTACTAATACTTCATACAGTTGTCAAGACTTGCGCTTGTCAAGACATAACTGGCATGCATTCGATCCCTTCCTGGCTATGATGGTCTTAGTGTGCACTGCAGTGGTGGGCTGACAGTATCCCTCCCCCCCCCCCCCTCCTGCTGTAGTGTTCATTGTACTGTTGCGTTCAATTGCCTAGCCGCCGTCCCCCCCCCCCCTTCACAATTGGCCGCCCCACTTGAAATTTCCTTCCGACGCCCCTGGATTCTGAATTCAAGTTCTTGTTCAACCTGCGCAAAGCCCAGATTCGAATGCTGATGACCATGCATTTTTTAAAAGTCTGCAGTCAGATGCGAGTCTCTTGCCAGTCTTGGCTAGGGAAAGTCGACAGGACTTGCTAGCCGCTACCGTTCAGTGCTGGCAAGAGTATCCATCAGGGAAAATGGAATCAGTTTGGTTGTGCCTTTTACTCCTCTTTTCCCGGAGTTCGGGAGAGTGGAGGTGAAACAAGGGAGTTGTAAAATAGTTTTACGACTCCCTGCTGGAAACGAGTAATCGCCACCGTGGCGTAGCACACAACGTGAAAGCCAACTTGAACGACGGCGACATCAGCAAAGTTCAGTTGAGTGTGATCAAAGAAGCTGAGGCAAGGCTGAAAAGAGCTGAACAACGTAAAATAGTTTTACGACTCCCTGCTGGAAACGAGTAATCGCCACCGTGGCGTAGCACACAACGTGAAAGCGAACTTGAACGACGGCGACATCAGCAAAGTTCAGTGGAGTGTGATCAAAGGAGCTGAGGCAAGGCTGAAAAGAGCTGAACAACGACTCGAGAGAGATGACGGCTCGCGTGCAGCAGATGACGACAGCGATGCAGGGTCAAAAAATGAGTCCCACGAAAGCGACGCAAACTGAACTCTCTGGTCATTCTGCCAACAGTTTCTCTTGTAAAGACGCTGTGCATAGGCTGAACTACCTTCGTCCAGTGATTTACAGTCGATACAAACTGTTCTTGACCTGTTCCTAAGCGTTTTTTTAAAAAATCCATCACGAAGTTTTTGTTAACCGAGGAAGTAGCACAAATGGTGCCGGGTTATAAAGAGGCCATTGTATCTTGCTGGAAAGGATACCAGGTAAGCGGAGCTCCCCCCCCCCCCCCCCCAACCCCAAAGAGTGCTTTCAACTGGTTGTGTTTCGATGGTTATGACCTTTTGCAGATGAGCAGCAAGGAGCCGACTCGCCGTGCCAGAGACACCAGGTCGAGAATCGTGCATTTACTCTACCACGCAGTAGGACCATTGATAGACCATTACCAAGCTGGCAGGATGTAATGGACCTGCATATCAGGCCCAGATCTGCCCTTGGCAGGACCATGTCCGGAACGGTACGTTTGATACCTTCAGTCTCCGGTGACCGGCTGCCGATGGCGTAGAGGTCTTGTCACCTCTTGTCACCATGTATATCTTGTATGCAAAGACCCTGAGCAAGCATATGTCCATAAAAGAACATGGCCGCCACCTTTCAGGGGGGGGGGGGGGCAGTTTTTCCTTATTTAGCGGGTACGGTCAGGTCTCCAGTGCATCTGAGATGGGTGAGGATAAAAGCTCCTGAGCTTGTGCAGGGCATGCCAGCAGGTACCTCAGTGTGTCTGCTTGAACCAATATGTAAATCAATAGTTTTTTTTGTGCCAGTTCACTTGGAAAATATCTTAGCTGTGGTGCGAGTGATTTACCCGGCCCATTTGTAATCAGGTGAAGGAACTGTGGTTGTGCACTGCCTCGACGCAATTTTCTCCTTTGTCTGTCCTGTGCTCTTGTCTGTCCTGTGCTCTTGTCTGTCCTGTGCTCTTGTCTGTCCTGTGCTCTTGTCTGTCCTGTGCTCTTGTCTGTCCTGTGCTCTTGTCTGTCCTGTGCTCTTGTCTGTCCTGTGCTCTTGTCTGTCCTGTGCTCTTGTCTGTCCTGTGCTCTTGTCTGTCCTGTGCTCTTGTCTGTCCTGTGCTCTTGTCTGTCCTGTGCTCTTGTCTGTCCTGTGCTCTTGTCTGTCCTGTGCTCTTGTCTGTCCTGTGCTCTTGTCTGTCCTGTGCTCTTGTCTGTCCTGTGCTCTTGTCTGTCCTGTGCTCTTGTCTGTCCTGTGCTCTTGTCTGTCCTGTGCTCTTGTCTGTCCTGTGCTCTTGTCTGTCCTGTGCTCTTGTCTGTCCTGTGCTCTTGTCTGTCCTGTGCTCTTGTCTGTCCTGTGCTCTTGTCTGTCCTGTGCTCTTGTCTGTCCTGTGCTCTTGTCTGTCCTGTGCTCTATGTACGCAGCGTATGAAAGTACCTAAAATGAGTAGCAGACCTCAATCTGCCCAGAGTGTCTCGCGCTTGAGCTGGCAAGATACGTAAGAGATAGTAGACTGGCTAGAGGCTACAGGCCACAGGCTACAGGGCGGCACCGACGGTACTATCGGCAGGGAACTCGTGTCATCGTGATATTCAGTGTGTATACAGACGTATGTCGCATCCCGTGATCAACTGTGCACTGATACACTGATCACCCGCCACTTGGCCTATCCCGCCGTGACAGTCTTGATGCACGTGCACGTCACGCTTATCATCCAAGCTCACTCATAGCAACCATTAACGTGCGTTCTTTCTGAACGGTTCAAGTGTAACTTATGTGTTAAAAGGACTATTATTTAAAAATAATTGTGCTTCAGAATACTTGATTGATTCCGATTGCGGATACATATACTTGATAACTTTCCCAATGCCTATCTGCTTCAGTATAATTAATGTGTGCTTCTATTACATTTTAAATAACCAAGCTGACCAAATGAATGATTCAAGGATTTCTAACAACCGAATCTCTTTTATCGCTAAAGTCGTGTGTGTGTGCATTGTCCACGTAATGTGGACCAGACACCAGAAACCTAGCAGTCCGCAAAGAAGATCAATTCAAATACCCCGATGGTATCAAGACGTGCTATTTCAGAAAATATAATTAAATAATTGTAGTGATGTTGAAAAATGAGTCTCAGTATAATATACTTGTACTTCTCTTAATTTTTTAAAGTCATTCTGCCTATCTAGTTTTGTGCATAACTCAGTCATTCATTCAATCATTTCATCATCGGTCTCGATATCTTCATTTCTGTCACTGCCCTCACCATTCTCGTAATCCGTGTCAATTAGGTCGTCGTCAATATCACCTTCACTCATCAGGGCCAGCTTGTCCTGCATACGACGAGAGTGAATAATGCGATCGGCCTGCGTGCGCATGTGCTGCGACCTCACCATGTAGAAAGCAACGAAGACGAAGAGGCAGAATGCAACCACCGCTCCGATCACCACGTATATCGTGATGCACTTCACCTTCCGACTGAAGGCTTTCAGGGAGGGATTTCCCCAGCACTGCTGCACGTTTCTCCGGGTTTCTTCACGCATGCCATTAGCTTGGCAGGTTCCGTTCGACTCCAGAAAGCAGTTCTCCGTACAGACCGGACACGCATACTGTGTTTGCCAATGAAACACGGCATGGCACTCATCCGAGCTTGCCTCATCAAATTGAGGCACAGACGTATTGCTACCCGTTTTCAGAGTGCAGCTGAGATGAATGTCGGCGGAGCGTTTGCGAATGTTATCGTTGCACAGGTCGCCGTTGGTAACGGATATGGTGATGTTCTCCACGGTGTGGAACTGCCAGCCGATGATGTATCCGTAGCTCTTTCCGGCGGTGGCTGTGCAGTTGGTACTGCTGCTGCTGCTGCTGCTGCTGTGGCTGCTGGGCGAGCAGCACTGCTCTGCACATACCATGCTGTTGATAGGCTGCCCGTTGTTGTCCACACAGTGTGAGTTGTCATGCTCCACCGTACACAGGTTCATGTAGAAGCAGATGCCGTCAGAGCCGTTCTTGTTGGCCAGAAGCATGCCACCACCGGCCTCTCCCAGCGGCGAGAAGTCGTAGGTATAGTTGGCAGCACTGGCATTGTGTGTGCCGTTTACGCTCAGCATCGCCGTCATGTTGAAGGACGGTGCCACCCGGCAGTGCTTGTTATCGCAAGTCGTGAAGTTCCTGGCGTTTGTCGTTCCCTTTCCGCACTGCGTGCATCTGGGCATGCCCCACTGTGAAAAGTGGGATTACACAGAGAGAAGGCAGAAGAAAGAATGAGTTGCTTGCAGGTTGAAACTGTAGAGGGAGTCTCGTGATCTCTGGCTTAGGCATGGCAGGGAATGTTTTACATAATTATTATGCAGGACTATGCAGGACTACCAGCATGCAGGACTGTGCAGGACTACCAGCATGCAGGACTGTGCAGGACTATTGTCAGCATACATTCAAGAGTGATGATCATTGTTTTTTACAATAATTTCTTTCTCAATCCAATTCACCGCGCTACACAGCAGTCTGAGTTAATTGTTCAGAATAGACACCCTTAGCAAACAACGTTATGTTGTAACGGTATTACCGTAAGGGGGAAAATACCGTGATTTGGGCTCGACCTTTAGCAAGATGCTCGCTATTTTTAGTACGCTGTTGCCACGAGAATAGCTTTTACTTCGCACGGTACAACCATTTACAGTAAAACCTGTAACTAAAGACCACCGTGACTAGCGACCGGCCTGGTACTACCGACCACTTCGCCAGGCACGGACGGTCTCACATTCAAAATGCACTGTGACTGGCGACTACCTGCTGAACGCGACCAGCGACCGCCTTTTCTTGTCCCAATGTCGAATTTTGACCCGTAACTAGCGACCGCGATGTAGGAAATCAAACATTGCTAGAAGCTCCTTCTCGAAATGTTGATGATTTTCCATGGTCCTGAAAGGACTGTTTCGATACTACAGCTGGACAAATGAACGCAGTCTCATTTTGACTGTGGAATCAGTGTGGACTGCACTACACCTGTCATAATTTCAAGTGCTGTCAAGAACAAACATGATAGGAAACGTCTTGGAGAGCGCATCCAAAGCGCTCTTTGATCGATGTTACTACTCGAAGGAGAAACTAAGACTGAGCGGCTCTCTGTCGAAGTGCAATCACACAGCTCAGTCACCAGGTCACACCGAGTCCACAGAAGTCAGAGAAGTATCCGGCAAAGAAGCACTGTCCTGCATCTCAACATTGCAACAGTTTACGTTGCAGCGTGGCTTGTCTACCATGGCAATGGATTACTTGGTGCCTTCATGAACAAACTTGAAGCCCAGCGCAAAGAGAAGCTTCAACAGGGAACTCTTGACTCCTGGCTTCAGAAGTAGGAGCTGAATTTAATGTCTGCAATAAAACTTGATTTTCTTTCTCTCCAAGTGTTGTATGATCTGAAAGAAGAATGTCAGTGCGCAAGTGGGGGGGGGGGGGGGATTGTATTATCTGCATTTTGACATACTTGTACATATATTATAATGGGATCCATATATGGTCACGCGGTGCAAACCTCTAACTAAAGACCACCTGCCACTAAAGACCACTTTTCCGGGCACCAAGGGGTGGCCGTTAGTTACAGGTTTTACTGTATGTCACCATATGCGCGATACAAGGTGAAATGCGTACGGACTATGCAATATTTGGCCAAAAACGTACCGTTGGTCACAACGATAAATCAGCCCCCATAACGTTTATACGCTGCAGCTTCAACTCTATTTGGGTGATCAAGGTATGAGTACCGTAATATATTATAGTGTTACCGTCGTTGTTTGCTAAGGGTGTCTAATGGGTATATGTTTTTCACCACCTCCATCATGATGCATGAGCAAGCAGCACAGAAGTAGTACTATACACTGTACCTTGTCAGCAAACGTTCCCTCGCTGCACGTCTCGCATTGGTCCGTGCCACCCGGTGCAAACGTGCCCGGCCAGCATGGTCCACAGTGCGTGTGTGTCTGGGAGTATGTACCAGCCGGGCAGTCCTCACAGCTGGAGGACATGTTCTGCAAAAGATACCATGATGGAACACATTGACACAGCACCAAAAGTATGCTTCGGAATAGACCTTTAAATTTTCTTCCAACTTCTACACGCACCATGCATGCGCTCTAAGCCAGCCAATACACTCTAAAAGAAAGTGAATCCCAGTGTACTTAAAAAGCTGGCTTTTAGCAACATTTTCTGGTTGGTGGAAGAAGTCAATTTATTCTTCAGACTTTCCCCTTGTTCAATCCGTCGAGAAAGTACCGCTCAACTTCTAAAGGCCTGTACCCATCTACAACTGAGGTATTTACACAGACAAGTCGATGACAGGAAGCGCTTGCAAGAATACATGTCAGGTAGTTTTCTCCGACTGCACTTCGTGTACTCTGCGGCAGTACTCCTCAGAGTCTTTGTCATCTTTAGGAAAGGACACAAGTACTAGAAGTAGTAATGGCCAAAAGAAAGGCATCGGAAAATGTCAAAATGATACAGTTGTAAATTCCCTCGGCCCGTGCTTGTTGCGAAGTTATTCTAGATCAGGATCACTGGGAAGTGACCATATTGGGTACGTCACAGTGGAGAACAGTAGTACTTCGAAGTAGAATAGGAACACAGCAAGGAAACTAGCCCTGTCTGCTACCAGTTTGTCCTGCTCTAGTATGATGAACTCTCTCAGAATCAGAGCGTAAAAACGCAGGTGTTGTTGCGAGTGCTTCGAAAAACCTCAGCCCCATGTGTATTACGATATTCACTCACTCCGGTAGCAATTTTTCCCGGCGGACACGGCGTACAGGTGTCTTGCCCCTTCTCGCTGAAAGTTCCCGGTGGACATGTGAGGCACTCTGTCTGGTCATCGTTCTGACGTGTGCCCGCGGGACAGGTCAAGCAGCTTGAAGCACCGCCCAGCGTGCTGTTCAGACCCACCAGCCTCAGCTTGTGCAGGCGTGCCTCCATGCCTATCGACTGTGCAAAGTGAACATCCAGCTGGTGATAGAACCAACTGTACACAAACAAAGACGCACAGACTGAGGAGAAGCTGGAATACAGACCCCGGCAAACATGCTACAGTGGGTAGTATGGGCGGTACAGTGATCAGTTCAGAAACAGGAGCAGTCAAAACAATTACACGATTGTATAATTATTCTGAAATTGTGAACGCATAATTATAGCAATCAATGCACACCACATGCAACTAATGTGTTCGTACAGCTTCTTCCAGCAGATCAGATAATCGGAAGCCAGGTACAGTAGGATCTACAGTAGGTACAGTAGGTACAGTAGGATCTTGCTTCTAATGCAAGCTTCTAGCTTCTAGACGGCGGACTTACATGAACCGGTACTCGCCAGCTGGTAGTCCGATCAAGTGCCTCACAATTGTGCCGTTCCTCAGCTCAGGTGGTGCACAGGCAATTGGCTCATGCACGCCTGCCTTGTCGTCTAGCCAGAATTCCAAATGGCAATGACTGGAGAAGGAGACGCCTCCCGGTGCTGCAGGGTCGAGGGGAAGTGCTCGGCCTGATTGTGCACCGGCACCTCTGTCAAGTGAACAGTCCACCGAGCATTCAAATTCCAGGTATCCACCGCCCTCCCTCACGATTGTGATGCCATCCCACACCAACTGCAAGTCATAGGATGTTGTGCTATAGCCGGTTCGCAAGGAGTCACCGTTCGGCAGCCATTGCTGGCCTTCGCAGCTGAAGCAGCTGGAGGTGAAGCCGTCCGGTAGCGTCGACCATGACGTGATCGTGAGCTCACCCGTCGTGACTCGTCCGCGGTGGCAGGACTGACACGACACTCCGTCCTGCGAATACCATGCTTTGGGACAGTTCTGGCAGAAAGGCTGAAGAAGAACACACACACGCACACACATTGAGATGCATGTACAGTGGATATGGCCATGCCTGATGCCAGAGTGATGGAGAGTTCACCTGACCATCAGGAGATACATTGATTGGTTAATGCTGAAGAGATGGCTGTTGCTATGGCTGAATGCCACACGCACTGAGACACCATAGCTGTACCTGGAGGTGGGATCTTCCCTAGCTCCTTTGTGATTGACGGTCAAACCTTCGGAACAGATGTACCGCTGTGATTACGCACACTGATGAAGGACTTAAATTGAAGAATCTACCTACAGTCAACCTTGTGAATACCGACCTCGAGTATGATGGCAGCTCATGAATAACGACCTCGAGTATGATGGTAGCTCATGAATAACGACCTCAGGTATACATGTAACAACTCATGAACAATGACACAATCTTCATACCTAGTGACCATGGTGACCAGTTGACTGCATACTTTCAACCTCATGAATAATGATAACTCGCGAATAACGGCGCTTTTCGCATGCACGATCGAGGGTAGTTCTCCGCAAGGTTGATTGTAGCTTGGGCAATGGAATAATGCCATGCGCATGATGACAAAATATCTAGCATTCATGCAGAAAAGTCATACATATACCACATAGTGTTGACAGCCTCTTAGCTCCATGGAAAGTACATGTAAGATTGCGGGAGAATGAACTGAAAGTGCATAGGGATGCAGAACACACATACACACGAGTCGTACATACATACATACATACATACATACATACATACATACATACATACATACACATGTACACACACACACACACACACACACACACACACACACACTGATACAAAACACACATACATACACAAGCACACACATACACACACACACACATACACAAACACACACACACACACTCACCCTCTGCGTCTTCAGGTTAATGAACTGCTGCCCTGGCTGGCATTGGCAACGCACCAGACGGTTCCGTGTTTGTTCCGGGCTCAGTGCAGTCTTGTCGCAAAGTGGCTGAGAGTATCCGTAATGATGTAACCAGCTGATAGTCTCATTACGAACATACTTGTTGTTCACAACGTCATGGTAGCAAGTGGAGATATCGGCAAGGTTCTTGATCAGATCGTTTTCAGTGCAGCGTCGCTTCGGGTAGCATTGTGATCCACCCTGCATATGTGTGCATGTGTATGTGTGTGTGTGTGTGGGGGGGGGGGGGGTGCGTGTGTGTGTGTGTGTGTGTGTGTGTGTGTGTGTGTGTGTGTGTGTGTGTGTGTGTGTGTGTGTGTGTGTGTGAGTGCGTGTGAGACAGAGACAGAGAGAGAGAGAGAGAGAGAGAGAGAGAAACATGTTGACATGTACGGACAAAGCACAGTAGGTGCCTCAGTTGATATGCTGGTGGCCGTGTGATATAAAGCAGAAGAAACACTCTAGCGCTAGATACCGATCATCTCAGGCCCAGCTAGAACATGCCAACACACGCTGATTCAGGCCCGGGAAAAAAGACCACCTGTTTCTAGAACCTGGTTTTCCAAGCACTAGGGGCCAGTGGCTGGGCTAGAGTCTCCTTAACACCTAATCGACTACACCGGGCATGTATGCATTCTGTGAGATTGGTTACCAGGTGCTTTCCAACTGATAAACACGGGCAATATTCTACAAAGCCATGTTGTAGCATTGCCACCTGTAAAGGAAAGAAAGGTATGACTTGAAGCTGGTTAAATCACTAACCTTTAAGCTGTATGTATCGTTGGGGCACGGCTTGCACTCAGCCTTGCCGCTGGAATCCTGATAATGAAACTCTGGACACATGGTGCACGATGAAGAGTTGGAAGTGGGCGAGTACGTCCCTGATGGACATGGAGCACAGCTGGAGTTCCCCTCCACTCCCACCTGGGGCACAGTAACATACAGTGAACAATGTACAGCCAGGCATTATTCACTGATGCAGAAACAGTGTGGGTACTGTATCCCCGGTACATTTGCACGATCTCGAGGCAAGATGAATTTCCAGACTTCAGCACTTGCCCTCCACTATGGCTGCCCTGTTTTGGACTGTCTCGGTTGTGCATGGGAGCATGATCAGGGTATATGACAAGGAGCCAGTTACTGGATAATAGGGTACAGAACTGGGTGCATCGTCTACTGTTTTTTAATGATTCCAGAAGGAAAATTCAATACTGCAACAAAGCAATATTGGTTTAGAGTATAGAAGAGAGCGTATACCACATCATCACGGTGTGTTGAAAGGGCATCAGGAACAGAGTGCAATGCCCTGTGAAACACGAAAGTACACGTACTATTTCCAAGAAGGAATACCCGACACAGCACTCACCAAGACGATGCTGCGCAGCGCAGCCTGATTGGACGCAGATGTCGCCTTCGAGTCGTCCACGTCTGATATTCTCATTTGCCATCGCAAACTATGGAAGCCAGCCTTGACACAGATTGCAAAATGCAGAAAACAGCAACAGCAACAGCAACAGCAGTTCAATCACGTCAGTATCTTTGGTTGACTCTGCACATACGGTAAAGCTGGAGTTTATTATAGTGACTTACTTCCAAGATGGAGAAGCTCATCTTCTGCCAGGTGAGCTGCTGTGACTGCGTGGTCATTGTTTCGTCGTTGTCAATGTAGAAGGAAAGGCCGTCACAGTGCCCCGACGTGGTGTCAAAGCAGGGTGTCGCGTCCACAAAGTACGTGAAGTCAATGCTGGCTGGCACGCGCACAATCTCCACCACTGTGTGCAGAACGGACAGCACCCGCGTGTTACGAGGCTGCACACCGGACAAGAGATAGGAATGGCTGCCTGCATACAGAAAAAGGAGAGGGTGAAAGAAGAGGACACGTCGTGATACACAACGTGGACTTGTACTCGACTTACTGCATGTACTAAACTCTTTGCAGCACATATTTGCAATAGATAAATAGAGGGTGGGTGGGGGCTCTTGGTATAGTAATGATGATGTTGTTACCATGCCGAGAGATTATCTCAAGCCTAGGGAGACCTTCATTTTCAAACATGAAAGCAGTTTATCCGCACAGCATAACAAGTCAAAGACCAGTGAAGGAGGAGAGCATGGCATGGACGGCAATATTGTTCTACGTGTATTCAAACGTCTCACAATGTCTCACACACACACACACACACACACACACACACACACACACAAACACTACAGTATAGTCAGCTGCATAGGGAATTGAAGGTGACTTTCCACTGCCCTGGGGTCTACTGCCCTGTGGTCTACTGCCCTGTGGTCTACTGCCCTGTGGTCTACTGCCATGAGGTCTACTGCCCTCTGGTCCACTGCCCTGAAGTGCACTGCCCTATGATCCACTGCCCTGTGATCCACTGCCCCGGGTCCACTGCCCCGGGGTCCACTGCCCCGGGGTCCACTGCCCTGTGGTCCACTTCCCCGGGGTCCACTGCCCTGTGGTCCACTGCTCTGTGATCCACTGCCCCGGGGTCCACTGCCCTGGGGTCCACTGCCCTATGATCCACTGCCCTGAACTTCTGAAGTGCACTGCCCTGAACTTCTGAAGTGCACTGCCCTGGGTCCACCGCTCTGGGGCACTCACCTATATAGCTCTGGTCACTCTTCCTGCAGGTCGAGGGTACAACGACTGGCCCCGTGGTCGGGGAACTCTTCCCATCTGGCGGTCCGGGACGCCATGGCTGACATGCAGACCCCTCGTAGATATTCGTGACCACGGAGAGGTTTCCGCTCTCGCAGAACGTGGACATCTCCGTAGAGTCCTCCTTCAGGTAGAGACCAGACGGACACCGGTTCCACATTCCCCACGTACTCGAGTCCAAGACCTTTCCACCGGGGCCGTATTTTCCCGGTCCGCATCTTTCACACTTCAGCGTATCGTCGGCGATCCCATATCCAGTCTCACACTGGCACGGTAACACTTCAGGCGCTGGCAATTTCACACTGGCTGGTGACGATGCATTACAGCTGCTATTGAAGAAGAACACTCTCCGCTTGCTCAGCTGCCCCTCGCATTCCGTATTCACTGCCTCGATCATACTCTTCGTGCATGGTCCCAGGGCCGCATCACTTCCAATGTTTCTTTGTACATCTACGCATATGCATAAACTACACAGGCCTAGAATAATGCTGCTGCTCCACGAGCCGGACGCAGTTCGACTCCGTGGTCTTCTTGAACGGCGGCGAGGTTTGTTCGTCGAATGAGATGAGCGTGATTCGCAGTCTGCTTCACGATCAAGGCCCATGATGCATTGATGGGTAGAATTCCGGACTGCAGTACAGTGCGTATCCACTTTTAGCGTGCTGTTTTTTGCAGCGCTGGATATGGTCCAATGTCGTCCAATGATTCCATTGGTTTCAGGCCAGCGGCCACGAACTTGCACACATCGGAACGTCGCGAGCAACCCCTTGAAGAGTGCCAAAATAGCCTCTTTCTGAGAATGGTGGACACTACACACAATGAGTTATTTCGGCCCCTTCGGGAGTATTGAAAAGCACCAGCACAAGAAGCAACGAATGTCACAAAACACTCCGTACCAACTATTTCATTTCACCACATTTCTGTTGCACGTCAGACTCAGATGACTCGTAGATCTACCACGCAGTGGTGGTTGGCCGGCCTGTGAAGGATCCGAAACGTCACATACCTTGTCGCATGTTGCTACTGCTGACTCTGTGTTGTGTGTTGGCAGTGTTGCAGTGTCGAGCACATGGCCAAGTAAAGCCAATGGCAATGGCAGCCGTCATACTTTTATTCAGTGTACATGTATATAATATAACCTAACCAGTTGATTATAATTATGGGAAATATAAACCTGTATACAAACCTCGGCTTCGCCTCGGTTTGTATACAGGTTTATATTTCCCATATAATCAACTGGTTAGGTTATAATTATTATGCTTATACTGAGCTGATATACAAACTCCCCTCTCCCCCACAAGGGT